CTGGTGCACAGGTGTATAGCAAACTGTTCCTCCCTACTTAGTTCACAACTGTCTTATCACAATGTGATTACACACAAACAATAGTGGTAAATTACCTCTTGCTAAATGGTTGTTCTTATTTATGCTATGTATATGAATGAGGTGGGTAGACAAGAACAGAATTAGGAGAAAGACAACAGGATTTTCTTTTTGAGATCTGAAGGCAGTTTGAAAGACAGGACATTGTTCAAGACACGTATGCGTCCTTCCTACAGTATATGCACAACCACCATTGCTTGCACCAACAGGTTCCTGGGTGGTTCCCAAGCCTGCTACAAACCTTATTTGACTAGATATTACAGTACCCAAGCTCTCTTGGAAATTGTTATCATTACCTGTGATGTCTACCTACCTATTAAGAAAGCCTAATTAGTTTTAGTTTAGATTAAATATATGCTCCCTTTTTTCATGAGTTCAATATTGCTCACAATATTGAAAGTGAGAACTATAATAATAATTAAATATAAACTTCAGTTTTTAATCAAGGCAATATCTCCACATTCTATTTAAATAACTGATCTTTCTTTCCACAATAGAAAAAGATGATATAGTTGACTTCCAACAGCACATTTTTGGACTACATTAAAAGGCAGCAAAAACTGTTAAATAATTTATTATAAGGATATTCTGCCTCGGATATCTTAGCCTACTTGGATCATTGTCATGACCCAAGACTTACAGCCAAGTAACATTTGTTCCTAGAATTCACTCACAGTTGTTTGTTACTTTGTTGACAATTCTAAAATATTTCTGTTCTAATTGAACATTCGGATTACTTATGCAGTTCATTACTGTACTTTTTAGTATTGGATTTATAAGAATACTTATTTAGGAATAAGCCTCATCAAATTCAGTGAGAATTATTATGATATCATTAGTGCTGCAAATATCCTTCCTGCCTTTATCTAACTCAAGCATATCAACTCTCCATACCCTCATTGCTGTAGGAAAGGAAATGTATGCTTAAATGTGAACATGTATGATGGTGGCGATAGAAAAATACCAGAGAGAAAAAAGTTGCAAAGGGATTTGTTCCTTCTGTGTATTTACCTGTTAACTTTCATGTAAGTATAATTAGGTTTGCAACCTTATTTTAACATCCAACTTGCAACACAATTCAATAATTTATATGTATAAAACATGTATGTCGTTAATCTCAAGGGACTCCTCTGTACACGGTTCTACCCCAAAATCTCTCTCTCATGAGAATCCCCTTTTGAGGTCTCCTCCAGTTTCCTGAGCCCCTCCTGCCCCACCCTGTCTGAATCTGCTGCCGCCCAGCGGAGTCATCACAGGGTTAAGCTGTCAGCTCTGTAATGTTAAACAGGTGTCAAAGGCGCTTCGATATATCTGCAGATTGAAATCAAATTCTTTGCCGTATAAAAAGATAAATTACCCAGGCGATTCCCGCCTCGTCCCACTCATCAGGACAGCGCCAGACGGAGAGCATTTTTTTTATGTGCTAACGACCTAATCAAGCAATCAAGTCGGAGAAGATTGCTGAGTGACCCCCCGAGCATCCATCTGCCAGCGAGCCCCCACCGTTCATTTCCATTCTGCCGGGTACGGCGCGTGCCTTCCTTGGAAAGGAGGGAGAGGGAAAGGGAGAGAAAGAACGGGAGGGGGCCTTAAAAAAAAAACCCTAAACAAATTAACACACAATTTTCTAGCTTAATTAGTTAAATGAGAAAAAGCTGGTGGCTGGGGCTCTGCTCGCCACTGAAGGGAGGGGTGGCTGTCTCGTGGAGAAGCGAGCGAGAACTTCACCATCGCCACGGCATTAATTAGCGCGGGTCAATGGCGCCGATCTCCAGGGAGCAGCCGCTTTAATTTCCCGTGGTATTTCAGTGCCTGAGGCCCATCGATTCAAACTGAAATTAACTTATTTTTCAATCAGGCCTGGGCTGCCCCTGGAGCTGACTCTTCTTTTGCCTCCTCCTGAATAGACCGCGAGCAATTTTTCATCTCAAAGCTGATGCTTCTCTCTCTCAGGCGGGAAAAAGGCGAGGAGAGAGGAAGTGCGCGCGCCTCCAGCGCTAATAGATTTCTTCTAGGCTCGCGGCCAAAATTGTGGGAGCCTCATGCTGCCAACGGGATGGGCCTGTGCTCCCCAGGTGGGTTAGAAAGCAGCCGACCTCACCCATTTCTTTCTCCATAGCTCTGTGGCTTCTAAGAAGCTTTTCTTGCATTCCCCATACATTCGAGCACTGCTTCCTTTTACTTTCTCTCTTTCTGACCTCTGATAAATAGAGACAATATCCAGGCCACTTGCACAAAAGACATAATGAGAATTAATTATAGTCCTGCACTGAGCCATCAGATGCTGATTACTGCTACTGTTCAAAAGGGAAAGTATGCAGAGTTTTTACCTAGATCTTACATGAAGTGAAGACTGGGATTGTACAAAGAGAGCCCCCTGAAATGTGCAAATCACATTCACTTGGTTCCACCATGGGACTGTAATATGAAGTGATTATTTAAACATGACACAATTCAGTATTTACCAAGACAGAGAATTGATATACCGGGGCATTACAGTCTTGGCAGTTTTGAACTGAGCAAAGGGATATTAGAGGAAGTTGTCCAAAGGCATTATTTTGCCTAATTTTGCAAAAAAAATTCAGACTTTGGCAACTCTGCAATGACCTGCGCTGGCTGTGCTAGCTGGGGTGGGTACGTGGATTGCAACAAACCAAAGTTAGGGAGAACACAGTGAAGTTGTGCTTGCTTGACCCTGAACTAGCCAACTATATTTTATACTAGAGTGTTATGTGAACTCAGCTGTTATATTTTACTTTCTCTTCCAATGTGTTCTGCAAATTGAGTTGAGCAAACCACAGCTCAGTTAATCATGTGTGTGTCTGACTTCCCATCAAAATACTATGTCCCCATATGCTGCTTTTACTTTGCTCAGTCAAAACTGAGTTTTTGGTGAGGCGTATACAAATAGATGTAATGAAAATAAAAGCTGTTAGAAAATAACTAGCTGTATTTGGTGACAACTGGGAAAGTAAAAAACTGTGCCATATGACTGACTGGGGAGCTATAACATAACTCAGAGAAGGAAGGAAGGAAGGATAGATGGATAGGATGTTCTGTGCTCAGAAAAGGAAATGGTTTTGTGTGCTGGTTGCATTCTCAATCAGGCCAAGTGGAGGAAAACAGATCAGACTGTACATGAAGAGCAGCTGTCCTTTTATGTAAGTTCTTGATGCAAAGTGGGAAGAGGTCCTATCCTGTAATGAGTATAAGTCAATTTAGGTTTGCCTTTTTTTCCCTACCTACTGTATACATGAATGGTCAAGTGGGCAGGCATGGTAAGGCAAAGTTGCATAGTATGGTCAAGGCAACAGTCTTTTTCCACCACTACCATACTTGCCACATCAGAGGCAATCCACTCTTTTTTGGCCTCCATATTTAATTTAAAAGAAAAGATAGTGGTAAATCGGATGGCACAATGGCAGATATAGCACCAGAAGAAGTTGTGAGGGAAAGCTCAGGAGAAGCAGCCCACTAAACTCTCTATTGCATAGCTTTGCAAATATTTTAATTATGCTTAAGAATAACCCAACACCCATACCCATATGGTAGCTTCAGTTTATTAGCACTTTATAATGTTACTCTTAAATCTGACTTTTGGGTAGCATAAGTATGCTCAGATTACTTGCATTTGCTTTTTTGTATGAAATTACCAGAGCTTGTTCATTCACATTTGTGTGTACTGTATCTGTATGTGTCGGGTGGGGGGGGAGGGGTATGTATTTCTAATCCTGTTTTTAGTAAGTCTTCCATTTTGCCACAAAAACTCCAACTAGTTTAAGAAAAATGAATATGTCTTGCAGTTATCATCAGTGTATATGACTCTTCTATCTGGGGGTAGACAACATGATGCTACATGCAACCCACAGAGCTCCTCTGATCACAATTGCTGAAATTCAGTGGCATGCTTTCTTGCCATTTAGAGCAGGATGGACTAAAAATATACTATATGTCCTAAATTAGGCTTAACATTGATTTAAAAAAGAGAAAAAAAATACTTGAGACTCCTTGCCCTATATAGCCCTACTACTATTAGTAAATCATTGTCCTACACCATGCGGCCTTCAACCCTAAAAAAATATTATGTGTGACTCTCATTCATTAAACAGTTGTGCACTCCTGCTTTAAGTAGATGTAATTTTAAGTACACTTATAATAATTGAAGAAACAGTCTCTATAGCCTGTGCAGTAGTTACAATACAGATACATTTTTAAATTCATACTTAATGTTTTTTGAATAGGATTATATGAATATGTATGCATAATGCTGTCATGTTAACTTAAATAATTTTTCTCAAATTAAAATTCAAATCTTCACTACCATTAAAACACCAATATTAAACAATTTGTTTTTAATATTTCAAGGATTGTAATTGTCAATCATACTTAAATAAACAAGTGCTTTGCATATGTAACTATTTTTTGAAGGACCACTTAGTTTTTCCCCTTTAAATGGCTGTTTGGTTTAACTGGATCTTCTCCTTTCCCACCCACAGAATTAATGTTATAACAAATGATGTAATTGGCACATAAAGGGATAAACATTCAAAATAATACCTGACAGTGGGAAAAGTTAATTAAATTCTGCCTTAGTTAATGTGGAAGAGTAATGATTTATTAGCATTAAAGACTATTCCCACTGGTACTTCACCGTGATAAAGTCATGTTCTAACAACACCAATCTTGCCCCTTGGCCCTCAAACATTGGCCTCATCTCATCCCCAGCCAAAGAATGAAACAGCCTTAAATCATCTTTAGTTTAAATCATACTAGTTTTAAAATACAAACAACCCTTCAGTGGACTAGCCAGTGCCTTTTATTCTGTTTTACATATTCAATTATTTAAATTGAACTCATTAGGGGGCAGCAATCGCATGGCAAAAAATTGTACTTTCCTTATTAAGCTATCTTTCTTATTGCAGGTTTGGTTTCAGAATCGACGGGCCAAATGGCGGAAGAGAGAGAAATGCTGGGGAAGAAGCAGTGTAATGGCAGAATATGGGCTGTATGGTGCGATGGTGCGTCACTCCATCCCACTGCCAGAATCCATTCTGAAATCAGCCAAGGATGGCATAATGGAATCCTGTGCTCCTTGGCTGTTGGGTAAGAGCTCAGTCTTGAGAACAGATCTATATTTTGTATGGCCAGCATCCCTGGAAGGGTTCTAACATACTGGAAGGGAATTAAAGTAGCATTTCCTGATACTGTGCCCTCTATGTGTTTTGTATTACTAGCCATGCTGGAAGGGAGATAATGGGACCTTTAGGCCAACACATCTGTTCAGAAAGCTTGTATTGTGTAAAATAAGTGGGCTAGGGAAGGAATATCTGAACATGTATTGATATAGGCCAGAAGCTTGACTATGGCCTCTCTGCTGAACCTAGAGGTTGCTCACCAGGCACAGATCGGAAAGCATGGCTACCAGTAGTGCTTTTTAATAGAAGGTTTTATTAGACTTTATGGAATATAAACACTTTATGTCTAATGCTGATTCTCTGTGTTTTATGTTATGCTCCTACAATGTTTTTGCCAAAAAACATTCTTCATATCTTTTCAGCAGTTTACCACATGGAAACTGTTATTATGGTGAGCGTCCCCAGTCCCCTGCCAGATGTTCACGCTGGCTGAGAATGTAAACTTTTGATAACGTGGCAAAAAAATTGAAGATCCTTAAAAGGTTGTTTAAAAAGTTTTCTAATTCAGAAAATAGAAATCTGTCACAGATCATGGCATAATAAATAAGTTTAAGGGTTTTGGTAGAACTGTGCATATAAGAACTCTGCTGGACCAAGGGTCCTTCTAGTCCAGCATTCTTTCTGACAAACCAGATGTCTCTGGAAGTTTACAAACAAATCTTGAAACAATTGCCTTTCGAATTCTAAAACTCTTGGCCAGCCTTGTTATTATTTAGGAAGAGATCAGAAGGGAAAAATTCCTTTTCAGCTCCATTCTTAGGCCTTCCTTTCAGGAGCAGCCTGGCATGGCAGACTGATGGCTGGAGTGCAGTCTGATCTGCAGAATAGCCAGACGAAAAGTCAATTCTGAACACTGTTGATTGTGTATAAAGAAGCCTTTTTCCCTTTTCCCCTTCTTTCCATGTGCCAAGCACTGTGGAGGCTCAGCAGTAAACAAGCCCAGTATACAAGTAACTTAACTATGACAAATTTGTCTGATATTTTAAAGCTATTTAAATGTAGTAGCTGATTTTCTTGCGCACTCCTACTCCTACCTTGGCTTTCCCCCCCCCCTGCTTTTCCAGACTAATTCTTCAAATTTAACCCCTGGCTTCTTACAAATGTACTGCTTCATACCTCAGTCTACAAGAAAATGAGAACTGAAAAGAGGGGTGGGTGGGATATGTTAAGAAAAAAGCAACCTGTAGGGGTTAGCATTTCCCTCATCAAGGCTTTGTTTCACATACAGTTTTATCATGAGAACCACATTCACTTCATTTTTTAATCTGTATTTGGTGAAAAATCTGCAGCCTATTAGAATTAGGTGGTGCTGTCTCTTTAGGATCTTCTGCCCTAGTCCACTAAACTGCAGGGAGCAGAGGTTTTGTCCTTTTGCTACCTCAGAAGTCTTTTGTGTTTTTTCTCAACGGTACCTTTATAAACATAGATTCCTTTTGTAACCCTGCTTTTAGCTCTATTTAAGGACAGTTCATCCTCACACAGGATGCTTCTTCCTCCAATCTAAAATGTGCAGATTTGACATCAGGGTTCAGATGCAAAGATATATAAATGTAGGTGCAGCACTGGTGTAAGTTTCCCCCTCAGGCCTGGCTGTCTCTGTCAGAGAATTGGCTGGAGGTCTTCCTCATGCAGGGCCCAGTTTGTTGGGCTCTCTGTGTGACTGCTGTTTGAAGCAAGGCTTTCTGCTTTTCCTTAATTCTGGCCTTTCTTTATCTTTACTGTTTTCAGTTCAAGATGGCTTTCCCATGCCCAGGCGCTTTTCTAAACCCGAATACCAACAATTCTTTTTAGGGATGCACAAAAAGTCTCTGGAGGCAGCGGCTGAGGCAGGAAGGAAGCCGGAGATGGAACGCCAGGCCCTGCCCAAGCTTGACAAGAGTGACAAGGAAGAGAGGGGGCCAGATTCCAAAACCACCATTTCCCAGGAGGAACTCAGAGAGAACAGCATTGCTGCCCTCAGGGCCAAAGCTCAGGAGCATAGCACCAAAGTCCTGGGGACCATCCCTGGAGATCCTCCTACCCCAGTCAGGAAGCCAGAGAAAGAGGAAGAGGCAGCCACGGCAGAGGATGATCGGCAAATGGAAAAATCAGATTTATCACAAGAGGATGAAAAGCTGGTTTAGAAGGAAGGGATGATGGGAAATCAGCCATCTTCTTAAAGACTGACTCATCTAGTAGCTCCAGCCTCCTCTCAGACTAATGGGGTCCTCCCTGCAGTCCCTACTCACATGGAGGGTGGACCCACTTGGTCTCTGTACATTTCAGGAAGTCACAGGCTAAGGCCATGTTGTGTTGGGTGTGTCCAGAGACTGATTCCCTCAGGAGCATATTGCCCCTGCAATCTCTGTCCTCAGGAGCCCTTCGGCTCTGCCTCCCTCCATTTCAAGCAGGGAGAGGGAGGTGGAAATTGAATAACTTTACAATTTATTAAACCGATATTGGGTTTTTCTCCCCCCCCCAACCATTCAGCCTCTGTTATTACATTTTCACTTCATCTTTAAAAGTATTCATCTCATTATCTAGGTTCACACATTGTGATAAGCCATGTTTTATTTTAACCATCATTTTTTGATTAAGCTTCAATGTCTAGGTTTTGCCATCACATTTAAGCCATATATACCATAGTTTACAAATCACAATGGCTGGTTTGTACAACGCACTAAGCCAAACGGTCAAACCACATAATGACTTACCATGATGTCTGTACCCAATCACTATATTTAGTGATCAAAGTAAGTCTCTTTCTCCTTATCTCAGTCAGGCTGTTAGCTTTTCCAAAAGAGAAGAAAGGTTTAATTATGCATTATATATTTCATTTAAAACTGCCCATTACCTGACATTAAGGCTAAATATTAAAGAACCACTCTTTTCCAAAAATCAACCCAAAATTAAGAATTGATCTGGTGGCAACCCTACCTCATACTGAGTGTGTTCCTGACTACAACATCAGTGTCATTGATGTAAGAGATTCAGGTGCCCTATTAACACAATGTGAATCTTGCAGAATAATGCCTACTTTTGGACTGTTTAAGGTACCCAGATGCAGCGTGCCACAGCCTTTGCTTACTATTTTGAAATAGGTATGCCATTTTTTCCCCAGAACATTTCAGGAGAAATCATATCAATGAAATAAAATATACTTGTACAACACTGAGTTGATTCTAATGAAGATATCTTCCATATATTTTAAAGTAATCCTGGATTGTTACAAATTAGGAAAGGAGCACTTAGGGTACCAAGACTATGTGGATGTCATATTGTGTATCTCAGATCCTAGCCACTTGTCCCAATCTTGTATGTTTAGCTTTAGATAGGGTTAGTTGATGGTGCGAGAAATGCATCTAAGAGATTAAGTTAAATTCCAGTTATTATACTTGATATTCAAATTTCTTTTAGGGATTGTGAACACTGACTTAATTAAACAAGAGTCTGGCTTCATCTGCTCTTGAGTCTGGATGGCTTTCTCATGGTTCAGAAATGGAAGTCAAGAAGTGGACAGTACTGTAAGAGTTATCTCTAATAGTGAGGTTTCTTGAGAAAGAAATTTTCACTTGTGTTTTAGAAACTTATTAGTACTGCGTTGTGTTTACATTAATATGAAAATTCTATCAGTAGTGTTTGATCATCAGTGATCATTCATTAACTCTGCATATCTTTGCTTGATGTTGCAGTCAGCAAATGGTAAAGATAGAAACACAATACTATATTAGCAAATACTTATGGTCAGTTTATGGTCGCTTAAGTGACCATAATATATCAAGTCACACATACATTGCCTAAGAAACTCATTTCCATAAGAACATTGTTTTTTTTCTTTTTCGGGAAGGCCCAGGACAGCAAGTCCCCCATTTTTTCCTGTCTTTATTTTTAACAAGAGCTGTTTTATTTGTTTATGACTGATCATCTTTGCTGACCTAATCCCTTTCTATGTTCCTCAGTTATCTGGTGTTTTAGATTATAACCCATGGTGTGTAAATAATGTACATATGGTGAGAAAAGTTGGTATTTGAGGTGTTTAAGATAAAAAGTTGTAACAACTAGTCTTTGAAACATGTGATTTTGTGCCATTTTCTGTAAAGATATAAATCAGAATAAATCTGAACTCAAGATGAACAAGAATGATGCCGCAGTGTAACTAATAAGTGCTGTTTAGATATTGCAAGATAGGCAGTATCAAATCAAATCAAATCAAAACCTTTTTTATAGCCTTTAGGCCAGAGAAGGCTGTATCTCAGCATCAGAGGAAAATTACTAATACAACAGGGAAATTTAGAAATCGCACATTTAGTAAGTCTGTAGAAAGCTTCAATAAGGTGATTTGATTACCATCACTGTTTTTCTGGCTCTTCTATGCATGGCAGAAGCTGAGAAACAAGTTTTCAAGAGAAGCAACCAGTTTAGATGAATCTACCCTGATTTGATGCTTAAATGGGAAGTGTCACCTCCAACACTTCTCTTTAAGCACCGAGGAAGACTGCAGTGTTTCCAACACTTGAATCAAAGTGCCAAGACACATTATGTCCACTTTGTTACTTGCCTAGAATTCATGCTCTGGATTCTTATGTCAGGCAGCAAAAAAACCTCCAACATTATTTCTCAAAAGAGCCTATGAATTTTGATAAATTTACTTCGTCCTTACAAATATTGGGAGAGAAAGCCATTAGGGACAAATTCATCAGCCATCATTACATCAGTACTAAAAATAAGAATAAACATAGATACCAGAGAATAGCTGAGTTGTTACAAAGCTGACTCTTTCTCCAATAGCCCTTCATCACCTAGTTTTACAGGAAAATCAGTTTGAAGGAGGACTGATAGTAGTCTGCTATATCTTTGAAAATGGACTGCTGAATCCTATTTCCACTCCCTCCATCTTCCTTGCTATTGGAGGAGAGAGTAGATATGGAATCACTGATTATTTGTTCCTGTTGTGTTTTGATGTCTTCTGTGCTTATATTTGCATTACATAATGGATATTTTTTCTGCTCAAAAGCTTTATACATGAGTTTTAAATATTTACCATGTTTATAAATATTGAGTTCCTGGTAGTTACCAATCAGGTCTAGATTTGTTAACATGTTTAAGCATTAGAAATTTCAGAACCATTCATTGATATTTTCCTTGTTCATATTAAGAATTTACAAGTGCATTAAAAAGTTAAAAGTTATATATTCCATATTTTAAGTTACATTGTTGCACTTCACACTTTTCATGCATATATTTTGCTCTATTGATTAACTTTTTTGGATTTTTGTTCAACTTGGTTGTGTAAAATACATAAAGAAATATATGTAAGTATGTAGAAAAGAATTTGAGCAAATAATTTTCTCTGGATCAACAGTCAGTTCTATATGTTTGCTATACATTAGGCTAAATCACTCGAATTACTTAAAGAAGGTCATAAGTTGTATGAGCACCATTATTTAAGTACCCTTAGTCTAGGATGGTTCAGAGATAGGCATGCAGATGATAAAAGGCAAAAATGATTTTTGCCTTTTCTTTCATTTATAGATCTGTTGGTGCTATATAAATAATGCATTTTTTAAAACACGAAATATTAAGTTTCAATACTTAGTTGTTGAGGTAGGGCTGGCCTACAACATTTTGGTACATAAAGTAGGGAGATCAAATGATGACATCATCCCTCTGTGACCTGGGCCCAAACTTTAAAATACCTTCATCCTGCCTTTTTCCTGCTCTGCTCCTCTCATGGTAGTGCTCAGCTAGGTGAGGCTAAAAAGAATATTGTTTAAACTTATTGTTTGATTCTCCTAATCATATTATTGAAAACTACTTGCCTTAATGCAGGAGTTCCCAAACTGTGAAGCAAATCTGGGGGAGGGGAGGGTCCAGAGCTTGCAGGCCTGTACAAAGCCTCTCCATCTTGTCCAGTTAGCTCTGCAGATGGTACAGCACTAGAGATACTGGAAGAATTGCACATGGCCACCCAGGCCAAGCAATTGTGGGAGCAGCCACCTGTCACAGCAGAGTCTCTAATAAGTGCACCCAGTCTGACAAGGCTCCCTCCAGATTTACATGTTTTCGCTGGAAGCACAGCTATGATGGACTACTCCCAAGAATGCCAGTGGATGAGTGACCTGGAGAGTCACCTGGATGGGGCTTTGTGGGGAGCTGCGGGATACCTGCCTGCTCCTCTCTTGGTGGAGATAGGGTGGGAGTGGTGGGAGCCCAGTCCAGTAGGAAGCAATGATGGCTGTACCATACTACTGTTTCAGCCTGGACGTGGACAACTTTGTGCTAGAGGAGTTGATAGTGAAAGGGGAATGGGGCAAGCTGCAGGTGCATCTGCCATAAGTTCTCTGAATTGTGAAAACAGCTGTTGCTAGATGACAACATCAGCTCTGGAAATCTGGCTGGCTTGCTGCTTCCTCTTCACTGAGGCCCTGGGCCTGTGGCCCTGCAAGAAAAGAGCATCATCCCCATCTCTGTGTAAAACCATCAGGGCAGCTTTCCAGATAGAAAGGATGCCTAACTTGCCAGCAAGGAGAAGGGTGCTGTGCTGCCCCTGCGGCCTTTGGTTATAGTTGAAGGGCCTGGCAGCATTGGCCAAGGTTTGGGTCTCCCATGCCCATTCTTTGTTGCATTGCTCCTGGGAATCTGGAATTGGAGGAGGCATTATAATGGATATCCTCTGGATGTGGTTAAAAAAAAAATCAAGATGGTGGCCACAACAGTGTGATCAAAACTTCACGCATTTTGTATATGTGCTACACATAAAACAGGCTGAGCATTGATCACACTGTCATGGCCATCATCTTGACGTTTTTTTTTTTTTTTTTACCATACCCTGCAAACACCCCTGCATTAGAAGGAGAAGATTTGGTGTGGGCAGAGCGCTTTTAAGCTTTCTTGCTGCTCTTATATCAACAAAGCAGAACCCATATTTCTCTTGAAGAGGGATGGAACCGGAAATCTCACTGGGCTTGCTTGAAAAAAGCTTGCATTCAAGATGTGACATTTTGAAACACTTATCTGAGCCTTTCCTGAAACGAATAAGGCCATTTCCACACTAATTTTTCCTAGCGTCATTTAGCATCCTTGTGCCTGTAAATCAGGAGTGAAGGTAGACTTTACTTCTTCTATGCAATGATTAGGAGATGCT